CATTCCTTCATAGTTCACACAAGGCAAACCACAACCATTTCAGGGCAACAGAAAAGCGAGCAAGCTGTCACATTACCTGCAGTGTCTTCACCCAGCCCTGTGGTCCTCAAGTTTTTCAAAGCCACCCTTCCTCTTTTTTTTAAAGTTTCATTTCCCCTTCTCATCTTCCCAGTTTCTACCCGATAAAAGCACTATTCACTTTCTAACTTAGCTCAAGCCCCTAGAGCTCAATCATCAGGGTGAGTTTCTTTTGCAATATGCAACAGTTTGTACCACCTATTTTCTTCCCCCAACATTTACATTTTAATTTTCAGTAAAACTGAACCCCAAACTCTACCTGTGTTGGCTCAAAGGATACACCACACTCATCCTGGAGCTCATGAGCACAGACAACTTTTGTGTGGGATAGTCAGAGACCAGCACATCCAAACACAACAGCAGGGGAACAGTTTTTTTCTGTGGCTCCCACCTCTTGTCCTCCAGCTACAGGATGTATTCTGACACTCCCCAGAGAGCAAGCCACTGCTTTAGTAGAGGAAGGAAAAAAAAAAAAAAGAGCAAGACAACAATCTGATTCTCAAAGCCATTACATCACCCAAACAGCAAACATAGTTTATTTCTAAAACAGCTGGAATCCTGTATTTGACAAAGTTGCAGACAGATGGAGCTTTCAGAACCAGGCTGACACTGAAGGAAACTTAAAACACTTTTGCTGGCAGAGCTACAGTAGTGAGGTGCCAAAGTCCCTGCCAGACAGAGCTGTCACGCACAGACCCCCAGTACAGCTGGTGATACCAGCAAAACCTGTGCTTTTCTTGGTAGAAACATGTTTCACAAGGAGGATCCGGGGCAAGTGAGGAAGCTTCGGCAGCAGAGATGTCAGTTTTCCAGCCTGAAATCATCCCTAATTAAGAGCACCTCATGGGTCTATGGACCCCGCACTGTCATTACAGCAAAAGCTGCAGGCATACCTTAGACCTGTTGAAAGGCACAAAAACCAAACCAGAACTTGTAATTTACTTCTCTTGATCCAGTGCACTCGCAGCATAACATATTCTTTGGATGATCACAGAGCACAGTTCAGAAATTCTTTGGGTTTTAGACTGCATGACATTCCCCCTGGTTTTTTTTTTTTCCTCCATGTGGTGACAAGTAACAGAGCGATGGGGGAGGCTGAAAAAAATAGATGCTACTGTAGTGTCAGGAGAGGAGACACAAATGCAGCAGAGAGCAAGCTCAGGCTCCAGTCCCAGTCCTTAGCAGGTGCTTCTCCCCACTGCCACCATAGTGCTGAGGTCTCAGCTGCATTCGTGCTGTGTGCAGCAGAACACTGGTTTCCCATAGGACTGCCAAAAGAGGTTAAAGCTTGTAGGAAGGTGCCTGCTATCTGAGTGGGTACCTCAGGAGGTGAAGGAAAAATAGAGCACTTCTCTCCTCTGGGGGAACAGAAGAGACTGTATCCTTAAATATCTACCATACCAGCCCGAATTAAAGTCAGAGTGCTGTTTTCCAAAAACTGTAGTTAAGCCAGTCTTGGCAGAAGAACTGGTGATCAAGCAGCCCTGGGGCAAAAAAAACCATATATGTGTGTATGTGTGTACACATGCATATGTGTGTACCTTCTTCTGCAGGTATTTTCACTGAAAGTGCACAGAATGAAGTCCCTTGTCATGTTATGTCCTTTGGACTGGTCCTGTGCTGGCAGGGCAAGGAAGCCTGAACCATCACTGACTCTGCTGACAGCAGATTTCTAGCTAAGAAGGATGTCTGTTCTTTTAAGCCAGAAAGCCTCTGAGGCATGCTCAATTCAGGTCATTAAAAAGTGACCCATTTCTGACCAAACGCAAAATGTCATCTGTAGGGGGCAGAAACGCAGGCCAAGGTTGGACATTGTAAAGAAATAAAAAGTAATCAATATGAAATTAATATTATAACACTGTTACATAGTTTTACTTGACTAATCCTCTATATTAATGTCAAAGCAGTTTATCTTGGAGTGAATATACGTATCTTCATCCACAAACAGCAGACTTTTGTGCTTTCAAATTGTTTCCTGCTCTATGTTGCTGTAAATAGGGCACTTAGGAAAAGGAACAGCAAGAAGAATCACACAAAGTGTGTAAGAGGAGGAAGGGGATTTCTACCCTTCCAGGTTATCTGCTCAGTTATTTTCATTTCCTTACTCAAAATTTTTGACACTTTAGCAGTTGGCCAATTTCTCTTGTTGGAGTAAAAAAAAAAAAAAAAAAAAAAAAATCAAAGTAAAGATACTTATATTAAGATGAGAGAAAGAAGTAAGGTGGCAACAAACGGCAATGTATGATGACCTGCTATGAGGCACTAAAAATTTTCTGAGAGGACCATTACATCACTCAGCAGTATTGACACCGAATTTCAGATAAATAGAAAAATACATAGCAGGCCAGAAAATGCTTTTTTTTCCTCCAGATTGGACCTGGTAAACTGTATAAATCCTACTTTTTGCAGCTGCACCATCGTGCAGTTGACCTGACAGGAGAGACCAGCTTACATAGCTAGACATGAACGGGGAAGCACCAAGGAGGAGGGACCAGTGCTTCCCTTTTCCCTGCAAAGGCTTTTCAGCTCACCAGAGATGGACTGCAAAAGGAGAGAAAGAGAAAGGTGCCAAGAAGGCATTATCTCAGCCTCTAAGTTAGATAGAACTTCATGACAATACCAGGTTGGACAAAACTGAACTATTCTGCCTGTCCAGGCTCTGGGCAGAGTTTCCAAAAGCATGGATCCCAGCAGAGGCAGAGGAAGGGACAAAACCACATGTAAGTGAGAGAAAGAAGCACATTGCTCTATTTATAATGGGCTTTCCATAAACAGTTAGACTCCAAAGAGAGAATTTATAGCAAATGCACAGAACAGGTCTTACAAATATCCATTTTACAAATGAGTATTATGAAAAGGAAAAAAAAAGATCCCACAAAACATTAAACACATGTTCCTCAGGGGCCAGTATTTGGACTGGTGCCGTTTATCATCTTTGCTGGCAACATGGACAGTGGGATCAAGTACACCCTCAGCAAGTTTGCCAGTGACACCAAGCTGTGTGGTACGGTCCATACGCTGGAGGGAAGGGATGCCATCCAGAGGGACCTTGACAGGCTGGAGAGGTGGGTCTGTGCAAACCTCATGAGGTTCAACAAGGCCAAGTGCAAGGTCCTGCACCTGGGTCAGGGCAATTCTCAGCACAAATATAGGCTGGGGGATGAGTGGATTGAGAGCAGCCCTGAAAAGGACTTGGGGGTGCTGGTCGGTGAAAAACTGAATGTGAGCCAGCAACGTGCACTCACAGCCCAGGAAGCCAATCACATCCTGGGCTGCATCAAGAGAAGTGTGGCCAGCAGGTCCATGGAAGTGATTCTCCTGCTGTACTATGCTCTCGTGAAAACCCACCTGCAGTGCTGTGCTCAGCTCTGGGGCCCCCAGTGTAAGAAAGAGATGGACATGTTGGGGCAAGTCCAGAGGAGGGCCATGAAGATGATCAGGGGGCTGGAGCACCTCCTCTGTGAGGACAGGCTGAGAGAGTTGGGGTTGTTCAGCCTGGAGAAGAGAAGGCTCCAGGAGACCTTATAGCGGCCTTCCAGTACTTAAAGGGGGCCTGCAGGAACGGTGGGGGAGGGACTCTTGATCAGGGAGGGCAGTGATAGGATTAGGGGTAACAGTTTCAAACTGAAAGAGGGGAGATTTAGATTAGATACTAGGAAGAAATTCTTCACTGTGATGGTGGTGACACACTGGCACAGGTTGCCCAGAGAAGCTGTGGCTGCCCCCTCCCTGCAGTGTCCAAGGCCAGGCTGGATGGGGCTTTGAGCAACCTGGTGTAGTAGGAGGTGTCCCTGCCCATGGCAGGGGGGTTGGAACTAGGTGGTCTTTAAGGTCCCTTCCAACCCAAACCATTCTGTGATTCCTGGGTATGTATTTTGCTGTATTTGGCAGAGGGAAGTTTTTAAGAATAATCTTGGATTGTTTATAACCTGTAAAAATTCATGGAGAAAAAACCTGATTTCATCATGTATTGTTGGGGCTAGGAGGGAGTGTTTGCAGTGATATATTCAAGTTGCAGTTCATAACTTTTGATGCTTGCTGAGCTGATGTTAGAGAAAGTCCTCAGCTCTGAAAGACAGAGGTTACAAAGACTTGGGTCAGCTTATCCAGGCACAAATCAGTTTGTAACAGTTCCTTTGTTAAACAAATCATCCTTGGAAATAAGAATCGGGTAGGAATTTGCAGGATTTCCCTTCTGTAAACAGATGGAGGAAATCAGAAGAAATTTCTCCATCCCTCCGAAAGGAGAACCAAATGACTCTCCAAATAAGTTTTAAATGCACTTATTGCAAATAGCTGGAAATGACCACAGCCCAGCTTGTGAGACGGAAGTTGTCTTTCTCTGCAAAGCTCATAAGCAGGTTCTCCATTATAAACTTCTCTGAAGGCGGGGGAGGAAGTGGGTGAGCAAAAATCTTTGGTTCACAACGTTGTTTTGCATAGGCATTCAAGTAGATCTTCAAAAGCTACTGGCTGTCCAGGCTAGTAACAAAACACCCATGCTTTCTCCTCGGTAGTGGACACTCCTCTTTGGTATCCTATTTTGTAAGGCAGATGTCTTGCAGCAATGAAGGAGTCATACAGATGCACCTTTGAAAAGGAAGACAGTGTCACTTGTGTTGCCACAAATTCATCTACTTGATTAAGGAACACACAGGAAACCTTCTTTTGGTAGGGGATGGGGGAGGGAAAAGAGAAAGCACCAATACATTCGCTACTTGCTAGAAGCAAGTTATTTTGCTCTTGTAGCTAGCTGTTAACAGCTATCAGAAGCTGTGATACACCTGTGTTGACAGAAAATAGGGACTTAGTGCTTTGTGAGCAATTTTGAGTAACAAGGAACAGGATGTTAATAAATCCTTCCAGGTGGACACAGCCCTGTGACAGAAAAATATTAATTTTGGGAAGCATTCTGGTAGTTGCTAAACATGATACTTACTTGTTGATTGCGTGATGCACGAAACCTTGTAGGATGACCATATGCTTAAAACACAAAGGATGGTAGCTAGGAACCCGAAAGTCTGGATGAGAACAAAACAAACCACAAATACTTACAGAACATTAGATGACACATATTCCATGAATGTATGGACACTCCTGTATATCCAGCTACATATTTTATGGCATTAACAGACCCAAAAAATAATTTTTTTACTCCATTCGGCCAATATACTAAAAAAATAAAAGTTTCTGTAGTATAATAGCAGCTTATGTCTTGTCGAAATAGTGACTGAAAGATAGACTGGGAATCATATACAAAGGTGGAGAAAAAGCTGTACAGCAGCATTGACTCTCACCTTCTAGACTTCTCGCTAGGAACCTGCAACTAAGAAAAGGCTTTTTCCATCACCTCTGATTACTGCTCTTTTACTGCCCCATTCAAACAAGTCTGTCCCTGCCATCTGTCAAATAAACAAGTCAGGTAAGCCTTCTAGTCTGTTTGCATCATCAGGACTAAGTTTCTGAAACTAATTTTTATTCTGGAGGAGTTGTATTTCAGGTCCTGCTGCTGTGAAAATACTGTTGCCCGCACTCAGAAGTCATCCCTCTCTCTGTAAAGCCCTCCAGCCCACAGAGGTAGAAAGTGTCTTCCAGTAAGTCAGCCCAGGACCCCAATGGGATTTAGCTCAGAGGAAATTATCTTGAACAAGGCTCCATTCAAGAGCAGGGGACACTAGAAGCTGAAGACTAGGGTGAAATCCTTTAGGTAACTTCTAGCTGCTACAACAGCCATTCGTAAAATCTGAATTGTCTTAATTCTTCCCCTGAACACTTTAATTCCTATGAGTTAAAGCAGGAGCCTTTGGTTTCAACTCCCTAACAGGACATATACCCACTTTAGTGGTGAGGCTGGAGTCTCACGACAAAATATTTTTGTTGGCATTGTGTTACAGAACATTCACTGAAATGAGCTAGAAGGTAGTTCACCCAACCAAGACACAAGCAAGGCAAGTCTGTAAGAAAATAAAATTACAAGTCATAGATTTCCAATGCCCTACTTAATATATATTGCAATTAAAAAAGTGTCAAGACTAATAAACACAGTCTTACCGCTCCAGCCACAAGTCCAGTCAAATTGTAACTCTTGGATGCTGCTACAATCGATGCAATGAGCAGCAGAATTGTACCGATTAAATAATGAAGAAACTCCTGTAAAGACAAGCACAGCCTGCATCAGAGGGGAAACTTATCAGGAAAGCATTTTGATATGCCTCAGAATGAAAACAAGTCAGCAGAGGTTACTCAAACCCAAAGGACAAAACACCAGTCAAAAGTGGGGGGGGAGGAGGGAAGAGAAAAAAACCTCATGAGTGGATTTTGTACCATGCCTGACTTTCTGTTCAAAAAAGAAGAGAGGGCCAATCTTCAGGTCTACTAATGTCACTGGAATAAGACATACTTACTGGGTATGGACGCAATCCTTTCAACACCACACATTACTGAGGGTGAAACATGTATCTTTATTGCCTCAAGTATGCACCTTACTTAATGGGACAGTTCTGGAGGAAGAAGAAGCCTTAAGGGTATATTTCTCTAGCCTATATGAAATGGCAATAAATGGCAGCAAATGGCATACGTGGAAAACCAAATGCTCCTACTTCTGATAATCTTAGAAAGTAAGCAGTGGATCTACTGCTGGATTTACTAACAACTTACACCAACCAAGACTGGAAACAGGAGGGAAGCCATGAAAAGCACAACTACGCAGACAACCAACACCCAGGCTCCTAAGGCTGTAAGGGTGGATGCAGCTGTCCTGCAGTAACACGTGATGCCACAGGTTTTTCTGAGAGCACTGAAGCACCACATTTAAGCTCTTCTCTAGTGTGACGTGTATCAGTCCAGGAGTCAATTTGATCTTGTTATAAGCAGGGGTTATCTGTCGATTTAGATTTTGAATCCTCACAAAGCTTATGGCAACCGATATGGGTGTTTGCAAACCGAACATGGGTTGTTTCTTTTGCAGGGTGGCATGGGCAGGAGGTTATCTGCTTACTGTACCTGCACTGCACTACTAGCATGAGCCAAGCAAATGGCATATAAAAGGGAGATGAGAGATTCTGTCTTAAATCAAAGCAGAGGGAACATAGTTCCAAAAGGAAATTGTTCAAGGAAATCCCAGAATAGAAATAGTCTATCATACCATATCACAGCTTCCCTCTGCTCAGGTGTTTATAAACAGCTGAGGAGGATCTTTGCCATAAAGTAAGCTCTGAGAGGAAACTTACTTCCCTCGCTTGTAACCTTGTTTCAGGTAATCAAGGTTTCAACTCTTGTTTTTGCTGGAATAAATTATTTCTGTAAAGACACTTCTCTGGCTAGTCCACAATGCAGCAGGCAAATTAAGCATGTCATTGCCTCCTTAGAGACACCAAATAAAGCAGTGTACACAGGCCACTACTTTAGAGGAATCCAAGGGATAGGCAAAGGTGCAAAAGAACCATCAAAGGCTAAATTAGGTGGAGAACCAATCCCTGGCAGGGCTGGGAGAATGTCCCTCTGGAGAAATACCTCCCAGCTTTAAAAGGCGTCAGTGCTGAACAAACTCTTGAAGCACTGCAAATTCACTGACTGCGAATCACACCCCTGACTGCAATGTAGAGATCCTGCCAGGAAACTCGACCAAACACTAGCTGTAGTTTCCTAAAGTCTCTCATAGGTCTTCTTATTCTGTTCTAAAGATACTTAAATATGTAACTGAAAAGGAGTTTGGCTGTAAAACAGCAGCAGTGTTCAAGCATCACATCCCATAAAGCTATCTGAAGCTGACCAGCCACAAACTGCAGCACCTTAAACTCACTATTGACTCTGGAACATTTAGGAATTATTAAACACACAACAGAAGACAAAATTAGCCTATGCAGAGGCCACAATGGCATAGTCCAGTTACAGCAATGCACACATTAAAAGATGCTTTGCAAAATGTCATTTATTAGCTTATTTTAATCCCTGCAACTAAATAAAGAAGTAGATCTGTAAACTACTTACACAGCTTCCACTAAACGCCATCTATCCGCTTCTTGGATTTCAAAATCCCTCTATATCTCTCCAGGGGGCTTTCCCCATCCCTTTGGTCTTTCCTCTGTGGAACTAACATGTCACTATGTGTAAGGGAGACATGTTCTAAGAGGTTATTAAAATCCATCATCCCACACTAGGACACAGGACTCTCCTCTTAGTTAACCTGGCCCAAAGCTACTGAGGAAGTTTAGGTCTCGCATTTTCTGTGCTGCTTGTTAGTTCTCTGCTAGGATATGAGAGATGGATGTGCAGGGGAAATGCGGGAATGAGGCAGGAACATCCGGCAGGATATCCCAGGAATGGCCAGGCTACGGCAATCAGGCTGAGGCTCCTATTTCTTGCTATAGTTTAGGTTACCTAAGACCATACCAAAAAGAGACACATTTGACTTAAATAGCACTCGTAGACCTTATTTTGGGACAGGATGTAGTACATGAATTCTGATGCTATGATTTCGTACTCTAGCAATCCCTTAGCTGCTATAAATGACCCGAGCTATGAGCCATCTGCTGAAGGCTTGATAATCAGTAGCTTCTTTTCAATTGTCTCAGAATAACACTATTGCCTTCCCTGGAATAACTCTGGATTTATAGCTGTGTAAAGGAGGGCAGGATCAGATCTAAATCAGTTAGAAAACTTACAATTACTGAATACTAATAACAAAAGCAACAAAAGGATTTATATACAAGGCAAAAAAGAATTACGTGACAGCCTATGATTGTGTGACAGCACAAGAAAATGGACTAAGTAATTGAGACATCAACCCACAAGAGAGGCAAGGAACCCAGACCATCTAACAGGCTTACCGCAAGTGGCCAGCTAACGCAAGTGAGCTTCCTGTAGATTCTGAAAATGTGGATAATGTAGAAGAACAAAATCATAACCAAGTCGCACATGGTGACAATCTGAAAGTAGCTGTATGCACTGTAATTTGTCCACTGCGAATTATTTACACTGATGAATCCAACCAGCAGCGAGATCTGAAAGACAAAAGGCACATTAAAGATTTTTACAATGGTGCTCAGAGGGCCATGGAGATGATTTCAAACACAACAAAACGGCATTTAGGAACAGAAGATAAATATCTAATGTAAAGCGGATGGTCCCAACAAAATGGAGGACAATGTAACGAGCCTGGTAATGTTTTAAAATTTGCTGTTAAATGAGCTAAAACAACCATGAAGAGTGGGAAAAGAGCCAACTGCTAGAAAGAAAGCAGCAGCTTCAGCATGAAGAATCCAACCTGAAGAGATGTCTCTGTACAACAAAAGAGGTCTCAAATAGAGAAAAGGCGTTGAATGCCTGATGTTGCACCAGTGACTGAAGCATCTAAACCCCACGGACTTTCAAAAGGTAATCACTGAAAGCTGTAAAAATGAAGGTGCCCACGAACACATGCACCTTTACTTCCATTTAGTGAGATCTCACATGCAAAATCGGAGGACCTAGCTGCAACTAAGCTAACCGTTTTAACCTTTCGTTTCTACCACCTACAGAGCAGGAGTATTAGCAGACTATAAGGTAGTATCATAGCAAATGATATAAACATTTGGAGGAATTGATTAATTCACCCCACCCTCAATACAATAGTTACACAGCTTTAACATGTTAACATTGTCACATAAAACTATACAGCATTATTGTACAACTTCTTTCAGTTGTAGGCTTACAAAGGACAAAAGCTGTTTTATTTTTTTAATCTAAAGCTACTTGTTTATTTTACTAATCTTGCTGCTTCTACCAGTGTGGCTAGTCTGGGTGATAAAAATAAATCCACTGAGGATATATCCAAGTATCTTCTTATTACAGAGTTTGTCAATGCATGCTTTCAGCCACTGCAACTTTTAGTTCATCCGAAGTCAGCCAGGAGCTTAATTATTCACATTTTAAGTGCTTCTCCAAGTCACTAAAAAACTATCTGAGGAAGCCAGCACTTCAAGACTGAACCATCCTTTCCTGCACACTCATCTTCCAAACTCCTAATCAACTGCATCCATTATCAGAATAATTTCCTCAAGATTAAAAGGGAAAAAAAATTCCCACACCCAAACAACATAGCTTAGATTCTCCCTACTGTAATTTTAACTGAGTTTCACCTGCTCAGTTCTAAGCAGACAGGATAAACATATGCCTCCTCAAAGGCAACCAAAAGCTCTATACACACGTAAGAACTTCATAAGAAGGTCACAACAACTTGTCACTTTGGCGAAACTCCATCCAAACAGCCACATCAATGTTGCAACAGTGAACCACCTCAAAAAGGTGACTCCAAAGATAAAAGTCAATGCTCCAGGATCCCTTCCCACACAAGTGGCTACACTATTGTTAGATCTGGTCCAGCTCCATTATTCTTACTGTGGTAGTCCAAGTAGTTGATATTAGCATTGTTAAGTGATGCTCAGTCCAAGCCAGCGACAGGCTTCTGCGCTAGGGTAAGCCTACATCTCCTCCCACCTTTGAAACAGATACAGGGTAGGGAAGACAGGACTTTGAGGTGCAGGGCTAGATCATGCTCAATGCTTGTCAAGAATGGAGGTTACATGTGCCTTTGAAAATGCATGATATCGCTCAGTCTCCCCAAGGACGTTCCTGACCTCTGGTTTGGGAGTGTAACATCATAGCAGCATCCTGCACGTTTAGTGCTTCTGTCTGTACCATGCCTGTTCGCTGGGTCTCACAGCCTAGCCATGGGGGAATCCTAAGTGCACAAAGCCTTGCATCTTGTGCATGGCAGAGCTTTCTGAGATGCTACCCTTCTTAGAAGTCAACAAACCAATGCTCTCCGCAACTCAGTATTCAAAGACTCCTGGCACAGTTCTGCAATAATTTTAATGAAGTTTTGTCCAATCTACGACTACATACACCAGGACTACATTAAGCTGTGGTTTCCTGAGGGGCCATGGCCTTTGTCATCTCCTTCCCACTCTGATTTCACTCCCTGTCACGGACTGGCTCCTCCATTCATCTGTGCTGAGCCACCTCAGTGTACTAAGCCAGCAGAAAAGTGAACTAATAAAAAAAGCAAATAGCTTTACTCTGACTCTGCCATCACGCAAAGCAGGGTCAGGTGAGCTAAGGAGTGTGAGGGAGAAGCCAGGACTCCAATGGAAAGGACATGAAAGACTGAGCAGGCAGGATGACAGCAGCCAGTAACCACGCTGGTTCAGGCTGCTGCAGTCCATCCATCTTGGTTCTTTGAATCTTAACGTCAGTTAAGCAGTCGTCTGATTTTTAGCTGTCAAGTAACTGGAACAATCAGAAGATCAACAGTTCATTTACCCTATAATCTAGGAGAACACTTGAAGTGATGCAAGACACACATCTATTATTTTCACGAGAAAACGAAAACTAAATTTAATGAAATTTCATTCTGTAGGAAGACTCAACAAGAAGTCACAGCAAGCATTGAATCTTGCTCTTGGATAAAGGTGGGATGAGGACAACACTTCTCTAACCGTTGGTGGGCTTCCTTGAACCTTCCCTTCTCCAGGCTGAACAGTCCCAGCCCTCTCAGCCTCTCCTCATGCGAAGGATGCTCCAGAACCTTCATCACCTTTGTGCACCCATGTGGGACTCACTCCAGTAAGTCCATGTCCCTCTTGTACTGGGACTCACTCCAGTAAGTCCATGTCCCTCTGGTACTGGGCAGCCTACAACTGCCCACAACACCACAGACGTGGCCTCACCTGTGCCAAGTAGAGGGGAAGGACCTTGACCCACAGCAACACTTCCTAATGCAGCCCAGGATGCTGTTGGCCGCCTTTGCCACAAGAGCGCATTGCCAGCTCACGGTCAGCTGCTTGTCCACCAAGATCCCAAGGTCTTCTCTGCAGAACTGCTTTCCAGCCAGTTGGGCTCCAGCCAGTTGGGCTCCAGCCTGTACTGTTGCAGGGGCTTACCCTCATATATCCTCAGATACAGCACTTGACATTCCCTTGTGTTGCACTTGATGAGATTCCACTCTGTCCCGCTGTCAAGGGCCCTCTCCATGGCAGCACAACCCTCTGGCTCATCAGCCACTCCTCCCAGTTTTGTTATCATCTACAAACTTGCTGAGGTGCACTCTGCCCCATTGTCCAGGTCATTAGTGAAGATGTTGAGCAGTACCAGCCCCAGTATTGCCCCTGGGACACACCACTAGTGACTGGCCTCCAGCTGGACCTTGTACCACTGATCACAACCCTCTAGGCCTGGCCATCCAGGTTTTAATCCACCTCACAGCCCACTTATCTAATCCATACTCTGTCAGCTTGTCTACGAGGATGTTATGGGAGACCATAACCTTACTGAGATCAAGGTAAACAACATCCACCACTCTCCTCTTGTCTACCAAGCTAGTGACCTCATTACAGAAGGCAGTAAGGCTGGTCAAGCATGACTTCCCCTTTGTAATCCATGCTGACTACTCCTGATCACCTCCTTGTCCTTCAAGTGTTTGGAAATGCTTTCCAGGAGGAATTTCTTCATCACCTTCCGAGATGATGAACCTATAGTTCCCTGGATCTTCCTGCCCATAGAGATGACATCAATCTGCTCAGAATGGCACAGTTTCCTCCTGCACCTCTCAGGCTAGAGACGATAGGGAAGGACTGGACAGAAGTGGTAAATTCTCTTAAAACTTTCCCTGTGCTATAAAATGCTACTTGAAGTGTTCCCTGGAAATGCTGTCCCTTTTTAAAAGTCAGCTGGTTTCCTCCCTGTTTCTTTTTGTCCCTGTCAAAGAAGCAGCATTTGAAGTCCATTGTTCATTGATTACACTCAGTGAAAAATAAAGAAAATGTGTATCGAAGACTTCAAGGAAGTCAATCTTCCACTGCAGGAAAACTCAGTACCTTCTTAAGGAAAGGAGAGGAATCATCCTTTGTATTACGAAGAGATTATATACAGGAGGAAGATCCAACTTTCAACAGCTCCTAAGGCAAGTGCACACTAGAGAAAAGGCCACGGCATTAGGCCCAGATGCTGTTGTACTCCTGATTTCAGAGAGCTAGAATTCCACCTGACTCCCTGCACTTACTCCTGGCTGGCTGTAGTCCTGCAGATGTAATTAAGTTGCAGAGAAAGCTTGTCTCCAAACATCCTAGCCTCACAGTGGATTGGGCATGATGCTGGGACCAAGAGCAAACCAGCAGCACCATCCTCAGCCTCTCTGGTGGCTAGATGCTCCTGCAGTTTCCAGTCCTGTTGTCAGTCACATGGGCCACCGTGAAACTGGCCAAGAGCTGCCTGCATCTCAAGACTAATAGGCTCTACTCCCCTTCACTAATACAATCATGCTGGAGTGTGCTCTTCTATCAGCAAAGATGGAAGAATCTGGATCAAGCCAGCAAGTTAGAGAATCACCTGCTCCAAACAAGGGGCAGGCAGAAGTGCATGCCCACCAGTCAAGAGATTACAGATACTATTTCCCTCACTAGTGCCCTGAGGGTAAAGAAGGAACCATAACACAAAAAAGGACTTATTTTGCTCTCCATGTGCCCACAGGCCACCTGGCACCACTAAGCATTTTCTGATCATGTGGTAAACCACTGTAGTTTATCTGACTGCAGAACAATTTTATAACCCAGGCATCAATCTGTGCAAGTGCTTTGTACTATCTTTTTCTACTGTCCTGCTTTAATGGAGGTAATAAATAAAGCTCTGGCTTTATTACCAATACTTACTTCTTTTGTAACATTTGGAGTGAAATAAATTTCCTCAGACACAGCTACCTGTACAAACATAAATCCAGCATGATCTCCAATATTGACAAGAACCTACTCTAAAGGAAAGCCTAATGTTCTGAGCATCAGACACACTTCCACAGACAAACACTGACACAAGGGAGGAACTGAATGATACTTGCTCTTGAATTCTTACTCCAGTTTTGGAACTGTCTTACTGTCTGAACCTCAGTAAATCATATATTTTGCTGCTTCAGCTCCCCCATCTGTCAAATGAGGACTAATAAAGACTTCAAATGCATTGTGCTAAAGTTTTT